GGGGGGGGGGTGTCTCGCTATTTTGTCCAGGCTGGTCTCGAACTCCTGGCCTCAAATCCGCTTGCCTCGGCCTTCCAAGTGCTGAGATTACAGGTGCCGCGCCTGGCCTTTGTTCAGAATTCTTCACACTTTCCACTGGGCTCACAAGGATAAAGTTCCAGGCCGCCAGCTGGAAGCCTCGGCCTTTAGCCAGGACTTGGCCCCAGACTTCCATTGCTTTACTTTTCTGCACCTCTGTTTCCTCCTCTGTAAGAGGGAATAACCTCAGTATTACCAGGTGGGTGCGCTAATCAGATGAGGTCGCCTGGACGGAAAATATCCACAGCAATAAATAATTTTCCTTGCACCTGTCCCATTCTCATCCCTCTAACCGCCTTTCCTCGGCCCTCCATTCTCCTGCTCTCTCCCTGTGCTCCGCCAGGGAAGCCACAGAAGTTACAACAGGAAGTTACAACCAGAAGAAAACCCATTTTACAGATAGGGAAACTGAGGCTTGGAAAGGCCAACAATTTACTGAAGGTCTGACAGCCCCCTTGGAACCCGGGGATTCCCCAACCCGGGGCCTTCTCCCCGCCACGCCCCTTCCCGGCTGGGACAGAGTTTCCAGCCTCCCCGCCCTGCCCCGGACTCCAGAAGCTCCGCCCCAATAGCACAGCCTCAAGATTCGCAAAGGGCTGTTAACTCTTTGCTCCCCGGAGCGCTCCTTGGCCTCGAGGGCGGGGTGAATTTGGAGGAGGTACTGGAGAGTGGGCAGAAAGGGAATGATTTTGCGCTCAGTACAGATTCGCCTTGGTCCCCCGGGATGACACACTGGGATCCCCAAAACCCAGGCGCCGCGCCTCACCTGCAGCAGCTGCTCCGTTCCCAAACTCACTTCCTGCTTCCGGCTCCCCCATTCATTGGGGCTCTGCAAACCCCGCCCCCCTTGGCCAACTGCCTGGCCTCGGGGTCCGGACGGGCGTCAATACCAGCCAATAGACGCGCCGAGACAAGCTTCTCGGCTCTCCGGCTCCCGCCCCCAGTCGCTACGGG